CGAGTAGCCGGTTTCAATCGCTCGTGCACACCGTGGCAGCATCAAGACACGGGATCCATCGAACCCGACGGCGCAGGCATCCAAGTCAAAGTTTAGAAGGACATCTGTAAGAGAATGTAGTAGTTTCAAAACGATTTGGATACGGCGATGGGGATAGCTCGATAGGAGATTGATGGTTCTAGCGTTCTTCACGACGAGCCTCGCCTGCGCAGTTGCCGGAAGGCTGCGGACCCATGTGCCGTGGATCTCTCCAATCTTTCGATTGGCATCTTCAGGACCGAGCCCGTAGATATAAAGATCTATATCAGGATCTCTTACTGCTCTGTCATCATCCTTGGTTGGATCGGTGTGCAGCAAAGTTGTAAGGGCCATGCCACCTGCAACAAGAACATTGCTCCAATCAAGTCCACGTAAGATACCATGAGTAATTCGCTCAAACACCTTGCAGAAAGATGCGCTGCTGGGTTGAATGGTCAACTCTCTCTTACGCAGCTCGTCCAAGATTTCTAGGCCACCTTTGGGAGGATCTTTGCGTGCGAATGAAAGAGGACGACTGTTCTGAGAGTCTTTGGAGAGTATTTTACAAAGATCTTCCAGAGAGACAAGATACCTGCCATCTTCATTGTTGTCTCGAGACCTCATGTAATGCTCGTTTCGAAAGACAGCTTCATCAACATCCATAAATCGTCGATCTTTTGCTGCCAGTGTCTGAGCCAAAGTGAGAAAGGTTCTCAGTAACTGGTAGGGAGTCCTAGGGTCATTGAGCAGCTGGCGTAAAGTGGTTGAGCTCAAGCTCTCCGCAATGGTCTTCACATCGGTTGCAAGATCACCGGAGTTCTCGAGGGCCTCTAGTACCTTTGCCACGGCAATAGATGCCAGGGATGGAGCGGAGACGCTTCGATCTGGATTGGCAAAGCGCTTGTCAAGCTGGAAGGTCATGAAGGTCTCGGCCAGCGACGAGGTGGTGAATTCCTTGAGTTGTTCAGCGGCCTTGGCTCGTCCTTCTTCTCCATGTTGGAGACGCCAGCCATTGAGGATGAACGGAGGAAGAGATGCCATATGGTCTGCTGTATGTCGAGTAACGAAGCCGAAACAAGATTGAATGCATTAACGGCGCCAATTATAAGGTAATGTTGGGGAATGTTAAAGTACTCATTAGTCGCAAGCTAGACGCAATGGGAACAATATGAACGTTAACACGAAAGGGTCGGCTGTGAGCCTCACAAATGCTTAAGACAAACTGCTTCCAGGTAGAAAGAAAGTATTGGAAGCAAGAAAGATATCTGCCCATTCGTGAGAGTATATTACAAGAGTAGTGATGTTGCTTGAATCGGATCGTTGCGCAGGCAGTTGCTAGCGCGTTAAAAGGCAGGCAGCCGTGCCGCTAGCAAGACCTTTTGGCGTGGCTCATGCCTCAACCTTACCAGCAATCTTCATTTTTACGCGCACGACGAGCTGCAGCAATCTCAATGATTTGGCAATGCTTTGGCATGTCTGCTCCTTTGGTGGCAATCGGTTCTGGGGTTGAAGTCCCTTACTAGAGCCACGAACACGGTTTCATGGCCACAATTCCTCGGTCTTCCACTCGCCCTTCCCCTCTGCTCCTTGGCCCTTCTCCACCACGAATGTATACTTCCATCTCCTAGCCGTAGCCGGATCACTGATGTCCAATTGCTCCACCTCTTCCGGCTTGATTACCACCACCCTGAAGTTCTCCCTCGCGATGGGATCATGTAGATCCTCCACTTTCTGTCCAAGTTGATGGTCCTTGTCCGGCTCCTGCCCATTCGTAGGTCTGCCAGGTGGCGGGTTCTTCCAGGATCCTATATAATCAGTCAGCCCCTCAAGTCCTTTCGTGTGCCTTCCGTCCCTAGAACGTAGAGCATACCTCTCATCCCTGGCGAGCAATTTCCAAAGTGTGCCGTAAGCTCCTTCGCCCAGCTCCAATCTCCTTCAATGCCCTCTGCCTCGGTTCTCCTCATCCGCCTTCCAACCTCACTCTTTACAGTCCTCACTCCACTGCCCTCCCCTTCATCAATGTCTCCCCCCACGACGAATGCCTCGCCTTTCATCCTCCACTGCGTCCCCGTCTCCTTGACCCACCATACTGCCTCGACTGGTCCACCTCCCCCGCTCCCTTGCACCTGATCATCCGAGGATGCATGGCCGGATGAAGACGCGAAGAACTGCCCGACCTTCTGCATACGTACATCAGTGGTGAATGTCGGCATATCTGACGTATAGGTTGGAGCATTGCGAGGTGCGTCATTGTGCTTGTTCTCGGGCAACGAGCCCCACATGCCACGGTAGATGCAGTATCTCAGTCGGGGCAAGTATGGGACTGGAGAGCCTTTTGGGGCGGGTTGGAGAGAGGTGAGGACGAATTCGGGGGAGGGAAGCTTAGAGAGATGAGATTCAAATGTAGGGGTCCAGGGCGCCGCGGGCGTCGTGAGGTGCTGGGTTGTGGTAGACATCGTGCGGAGGAGGGTGCGAAGGCGAAGAACTGGTGGAGAAGCTATGATGAGTTTGTTGGCTATTCAACGCGGAGAATTGAGTAGACGAAGTTCGAGCAAGGTTTATGCGAGTATTGTAGTTTTCGTTGCAACGAAGAGAGTCAAAACTGGAGGTAGGAGTAAGTGACGAGACATCGTCGAGTAAAGAGTACTCCGAAGCAGCCACGAGCATGATGACGTTGAGACTCTCAAGGAAGCCAAGGCTCCAAAGTCATAAAAATGCCAATCTGACTTCTTGAATATCATCTGTCCACAAATGCAATCCTGACCAATCTAATTGTACAACTGGGCTGATATGTAGAGCTGATACTGCTGAAAGGGTAGCCACGCTCTCTCAAATCAAACCCATTCATCCCGTAATCTGAGATCGAACACCATTATTGTACGTACAACCACGAAATCCACGCAATTCAAGCGTATCGCTCGGGGAAGACAGAGTTGTCTAGCGAACGAGCATTCTATTACGTGCTTCTTTCATCGGAAGACATGGTTCTAACGGCTCTTCTATTGGACGCTCAGGAAACGCAATGTAATGCTTCTTGAGCCTCTACAACGGGGAGTGTCAAATTCCACATTCATCTCTTAGAAGACTTCTCAACTTCCAGTGCCTCCTTCTCATCTTTCGCTGCAGCAAGGATACCTAGCACCCAACGCTCGTTGATCTTTCAAGTCCCGCAACCCACAGAAGATCTTGTACGACGCAAAACTCGAGCACAATGCAGGACTGTTCGGGCGTTTGAGTCTGAGACTGAGACCAAAAATGAGCTACAAGCCTCGAAACTGACTGCAGTCTTGGGATTAAATCTTTCAGAACCCATTTGCCCCCGAGCTTGACCCCCCAAAATTGTGGGTCTATAGGAAGGCGGCTCTTTTCCAAGCTAGGCTCCTGATAGTTGGATGTGTACCATGAGCAAGTTGGGTGGGAAGATGAGATGCTTCGGCTAGGTGCGATGGCATAATTGGTTCAGGCAGTTTGGGGGGCGTCAGAAGGTTGTAAGGTTATGGCATAGCGTCGCAGGACATTAGAAGCAGGTCTAAAGTAAAACAATACATCACCAGACTCTGGACACGTTTTTTAGATAATCAACACGGTCACAAACAAGCCCACAGCCTCTCGGGAGCAACCGTCTATTCGACACACTCAACCACCAGCTCTACATCCGAGCAACCCGTCGGCGTGTTGATGACCTTCGGCTTGTAAAAGAGCTGCACCGCTGGTCCATATTCAAGCGTGTTGTTGCAAGCTAGAACGGTCAGCCTATACCCTCTACTTCCTACGCAGGGGGTGTCTACTTACCATAGAACCCCCCAGAGATGGGATTGTGGTACTTGATGATACCCTGATCGATGAAGATGCCTGTGGTCCCATTCCCGGCATTGATCAGGATAGGATTGTACGTAGCATTGACCGAATCAATAATGAATCCGTAGGGGGCAGGATTGCCATTGAACAATAAATCCGTGTTTTCGTCTGCAAAATCTGCGGCGGTGCCGTTCAGGTGGCCGATGACGCCAGGATCAGTAGCGCTTTTGGGCGAAAGGACAGCGTAATTGGCGCCTGGGTAGATGTGATAGGGTTCGAGGTAGAGGTTGTTGAAGGATGAATTGGGAGGGGAGAGGACAAGAGATTTGAGCTTGAAGGTCTTTGAAGTCTTGTCGGGCAAAATTGGGGAGGCGATAGCGCAGGTGAGGACAGCAAGAAGGCAGAGAAGGAGCTTCATCTTTGGTGGGTTTGAATTTGAAAGGAAGCGAAGACACTCTGTGTGGAGCTAGGAATTGTCCTTGTACGCGAAGATGAGGAATGGTGCTGAGAACATGATTGGGGATTTGGGAGACGTATTTATGACTTCAAAAATTCAAAAATGTACAGTATACTGCGCTATTCTGGGAATTCTGAAACCCATTTTTTATACGAGTGAAGCCAGGGGCATGATGGGTTTTAGGAAGAGATACGAGTCTTGGCATAAGACGACGATGGCGAATACATGTAAGGTAAAGAAATACATGTAAGGTAAAGACTGCATGAAATCGGTCAAACATCATTAGGGAGGAAATGGCGGCTGATTCAAAGTATCCTATGACCAGTATTTGCTACTTTAGCGTCCTTACCATGGCTTGGCTCGGGTCTGCCATTCTCGCCGCCCTCGCCTATCTGCTGCACCTTCCTACTATGTCATTTAGATCTTTCTTCCGCAGCGCCTACTTTATACAAAATGGAAATGAGCCTCTCACCTGAACGACGCCTCATCGCTTCCCCGTAAAGTAGGCATTGACGAAGCGATGTAGAGGAAATCGAAAAGAACAGGAAAGAGAAAGGAAATAAGCAACAACTCCTCATACTTGAGTCTCATCGCTGCTCTGATTTGAGCTCCAGCTCTATATTCTAATCGTAATCGCATGGTAGAGTGACGGTTGGATAATGGACGGATACAGTTAAAGAAAACAGGATTCGGTTAACGTGGCTGCTCATTAGGCACCAACCAATTCTCATGCCAGGTTTTGCACGTTGCCGTAATCCAATTTCAAAAGCAAGCGATCAACGTCGCCGCCAGTCCATGGGACAAATCCATCATGTTGCATAAGCCCCTGGTCGCCACGGTAGTTCCGTTCGGCACTTCTTGCGACATCGATGGCCCGCAACGCCTCTATCAAAGCCTGTACGCCGCTAGCGACCTTAGCACGAGAAGCCTTCAAGTCAAGCACTAGTCTCTCTTCTTCCGCGGCGAAGTAGTTCGTCGCAATCGAGACTTCGTTCTGCGTGTCTGAGTCCAAGTTCCGTTGGATGGTATCGAGACGCTGCATCAAGGCCGACATATGATCTATGGATGTCATGAATCTACGCAACGCCGTGGTAAAGGTTGGGTCATGGAGTAGGAGTGCCTTCTCAAGGGATGCTAGATAGCGTTTGTGTGCTTGCGTCAGAGTCTCGGGATCCTGGAAGGACCTCGCTGCTGGTTCTGGACCCGGTTGTGAGGAAGTTGGCCTCGGGCTACGGGACCGTCCACTCGTGCCAATTGAGAACATGAAACTGTCATTTACAGATCGCAGGTCGTAAGGCAAAGTTGGCATCAGCCATCGATGGAATGTTGACCAAGAACTCCTCACAACTTCTCCTTGAAAGAATTCTCCGAGTTCTGCAAGGAAAAGGGCTGCGGAGGCAATTGTGGCCCAGATAGGGCGCAGAATCCTCCCACGGTAACCTGCTCGGGTTCTCATCCGGGCCATTACGTCAAAAGCATGGTGGTGTTCCAGAGATTCTGGCGCCTTCGGACATGGATGGTCTCTCCGAAGGACCGACAGCAAGAATAGCTTACTGAGGCGAAGATGGGCTCTTCGGATCGATAAGAGATAGGCATGAATGTGAGAATAAGTATCGACATCAGATGCAGATAGGAAAAGGTCTAATGGAGACGGCACACGAAGGGTTAGTATTGTTGGTGCAGGCAGCAAAAGATCATTGAAAGAAGCCAACGAAGGCTTAGAAGTATGGTCTGCATCCACTGTTCTGATAGACAGGCGGATGAGTTCCCGAGCCTGATCAAGCTCCTCATCCACGTCTTCGTCGTCAAGACTCTGGTACGACGCTAAAGCGGTCCAAGTTCGAGCCAGCACAGCAGATACTTCTCCCTCCTTGATGGTCATGCTGGCCAGCTCATTGACTAGGTTCTGCTTAGATCTTACGGCTTGATTTCTAGATGTAAGACGCTCGTCGGCGGCAGTGAGGAGGGCCACGGCGAATTCCCCCCGTTCAAGAAGGAAGAATTCTTTCAGTATTTGTAGCATCTCCAAAACCTTAGTCAATGGTAGTAATTTTTGCAGTGCGTTTTGGGACAGTGAAAGCCGAATTGCTCCAATGGCGGTCGAAAAGCTGGAAGAACTGAGGGGAAATTCCAGTGACGAGAGATGCGCGAGGTGGTTGGAAAGCAGCGCGAGCTCTGGAGCAGCCGCCTTAGAGGAGCCATCTGAGAAGGATGACTGTCGTTCTCGAATATGATTCAGAGACCTGCCGATGAAGAGGATTGAGTGCGCTGTGTGTGGAGTGACGAAGCAAGGGACCAGGCTGTCTTGAACGCAATACTCCCATGGTAATTCAGTCTGGCTCATGCTAGCTGCATGACGAGTAATGAAGAAGTCCCCAGCCCCGTAGGCTGGATGTCGACCGTAGAGAACCCATGCAGAAGTTTGCTTGAGCCACGCAGTCTCTGCCACTCTCACTAGATCAAGAGAGATCGCCTCGATGTCAGGGTATCCGGTGTGTGTAGATTCTCTGAGATGGCCAATGAGCTCAGCCGCCGTGCGGCTTTCATGCTTCGATCGCGTATGCTGTGCTTCTCCTGGCGCAGGTGCCTGGATGTATTGTACGAGCTTCCAGAGCCATTCAAGCTTTCGACTCCATCCATCGAATGCCCCAACAATGGCGGACAGTGGTACAATATTGTGGGCACCGACGATGCGTGCATCTTCTCTCAGTATTTCTTGTTCCACCTCCAAGATTTTTTGTTGAAAATTCGCAAGGTATATGGAGACGATAGCTGTCGATACGGCGCGGCAGACTGTCGATGGGTGAATTGAGGATATGGCAGAGGCATTGTCCCGGATATTCCTATTCCTGTCACCAAGATTGTGAGCTAAGGACTGCAGCAAGGCCTGCTCTGCAGGAGAGAGGAAGCTCTGCAGGAGCCCGTGACCCGCGCCAGCCTTGTGAGACTGGGGATATAAAAGCGGTGATGGACTACCCGAACCCAACGCCAAGAGGATTTCGTGGAGCATTTCGTGGAGGCGTCATGCTGGTGTTGCAATGAGACCAAGACGTATCAGGAGCACAAACATCAAAGACGCGCCAAGAAATAACACGTGACATGTAGAGCAGCATGTACACCGGATGGTCGAAACTATGATGGACCAGGCTGAACGGCTATTGAAACATTGGGATATCGCGTTTCAGCAAGGTAAGGCTTCAGCGACGTTCAGAAGCCAATGACGAGCGTACTTCCATGCTATGAGGTTACGGAATACATACATTTCACTTGCATCGATAGGAAAGATTGAGTGCAGACTAGAATGTACCTATGTGGAGTCTGACACTACTAGTGACATTGTTTCGCAAGTCGACTGTCCTCATCCCCAACATACACCACGAGTACTGACGCCAAATGATTACGTTCTACCTGAAGACCATGGACTACAAGAGATGCTTGGATACTCATTTGATGAAAAGCGACCCATTCTGTCTGGTTGATGAGACTCCACAACCTTAGAAGAAAAGACCAGAATGACCGACGAAATCTTCAAACAATTCCATGCATCCTCAATCCCTCCATGACCAATCCCTGATCCAGACCTTCGTATTTGCCATGATCATCTGTACGTAGGACAACAGCGAACCCTCACCCCTCCGTAACCAATCTTTGATCAAGCCAAACCATATGTTTGCCAAGATCATCTATCGGTTTCGCCCAGATCATATGTACGTGGGACGGTAGCGATCTCCGTAAACGTGACCACTAAAGGGTTTTCGCTCCGCATGCGGCTTGTGGCGATGTCCGAACACACGACGTACAGACTGGCCAGCAGAGGCAGGATAGAGCTGATGAGGTAGATCTGAGCGTCTACGCTCGGCCAGGTTCGTATTTTGCTGGCGGTAGTCGGGTTTTCGTGATACCTGATGTTCCTGAATACGAGAAGTGATAGGTCTCGGCTTTGTATCTGAAGCTCGGCCTCTGGGGACAGGGTCGGAATTGCCCAATGGCGGAGCCACAGGTGGACGGGGACCTCGCATCTTAGCAGGCTCTTGGGGAACATTCTCCCAATTCTCATCGAAACGGCGCTTCTTGCCTCCAGACCCTTGCTCTGCTATTGCTATAGTCTCCTCAAGGGTAGCTCTCAACTCATCCAGCATCTTTCCTCCGGGTCGGGTCTGCTTCGCCGCGATGTATGCGAGGCAATTTTCCGTTGTGTCGCGCAAGAATTTGGCTGACTTTGTGCGCTCTAGGGTCTTCGCTGGCGTGGCATCGTAATCTTTCCTTGCTTTATGGTACACGATGAACAGCCTTTTGAGCTTCTCGTCCCCATAGTTCTCGTCTTGCTCGCCAGCGATATGAGGCATTTCAGAGATTCGGGACTCTTCGCTACCGTCGGAGATGAACCATGCCTCATTGACTGGCTTGTCGTCACTCAATGCTGAATGGCTACATGATGGCAGAGCGCAACTTCCTGCTTTAGGTAACTGATTAGGCTTGCTGCCGTAGGCTTCTATTGTTGATGAGCATTAGCGGCAGGGCTCACTGGTCAACCAGGTGGGGCCTATGAACATACGGCTCAGGATAGAGTGCCTTGTCTGAATCATTGTGTCCAAAGTTGTAGCTCTGTCGGATTCTGACACGAACTTGAGACCTAGGATCTCATCCACGTAGAGTTCGACTGCAGGGATGAGATCTTCTTTCTTCTCCATGAGGACACCGAAGGCTTTTTGGATAACCGTGATTTCACCATGGGCAAGTACTTGGGAGCGCTGGCAAATCACATGTAGGTCTTGGTTCAAGCTACTCAAAAAGAACTGCTTGAATTCAGAGGACCCGCACAACTCAGATACAACCGGGTGGAGTCTATTGACAGAGCGGCAATTGTTGACAATGGCGCGCATCTTTGTGTCAAGGTTCAAGTACGACGCAGACATAGCGAAGTTTTTCCCTGTAGTAGTCTTGATTGCGATTGAACGCGTTCGGCCTGGATTGTTGCAACGCTTTGGAAGTATCTGGGTATTCGTCGAAAGGTCAAGCAAAAGCTAGAGAGTTGAGCTGTAGCTGAGATGTTCGCAGCGAATTTAAGATTGCCAAGAGTCGAAAGATCGTGACGCTCAGCTTGGTCGAGCTCGCTAGCTGCTGTGTTGACGAAATATAGCGTGTCGCTAGGTCGCGACAGGTCTTCATCGCGCCGTGATAGCAAGCAACTCTGCCATGCTCCACTTCGGAGCTCACAACCCAGCCTCTTGATCCAACAGTTGACATCTGACGCAACTTTTGTGTGGAAAGCAGCTATTCTGAATAGCACCATGGTCGCTCCTGTGGCCAACCTCTATAACACTCAATGGAAGCACAGCAGGGCACTCAAATATGACGACCGATCTATTCCCACGTCATCCGGCTCAGGTTTGGACTCAAGTTGCCCACTTCTGGCCTCAAAGACTCTATGCTTGACTTCCATAGACATAAACCACGCACTCGTCTAGCCCAAAAACATCTACATCCATCACCCGCATACAACATGGCGTGGCTTCCTTGACTTGCGAGGCGCCAAGTCGCCTTATACTGGGGACTTTAGGATGACAGCAGGAGTGACGATGGCTGCGCTCACAGGAGATCTTAAACCAACGGCCATAAAGCCATACAGTAAACATATGGTGTAAGGACCAACGGCCAACCCAGGGATAAAAAGGGGCCATTTGGCTATGATTCTCAATGTTTGAAGAGCTTGGGATCAGGCAAAAGGGGAGAAAAGCTGGGTGAGAAGCCGAAGCCCATATGACGACGGGCTGCTAAACATCTAAGGGGTAATGACAATCAGACTTGCAAAGTCTCATTGCAACCATTCACGAATATCCAATCTTCTAAGTGGCTCAGGTCGTCATGGTCTAAATGACAGCGGGTGGGTACGTCAATATTGAGAAAGCGAGGAGAGCGCGCAGAAAACGATGCCCAGCCAGTCACTCTGATGATCACAGGGCAAACAGAGACATGGAGCGGCGAGACAGACTCAAATGCTGAGAGCATGGCTCTTCTCAATCTCCATTGAATGTTCTAGCCTTGTCCGAAGCGCCGAAAGAGCGATATTACTCAGCGCCGACGCTCACTGGTATTTGCAGGCAATATTCGAAGACTCTTCCAAATTGTTTCTCCACATTGGAGCATCCCAGGAAAAGGCGGTGGTCCAGTAAATGGAAGTTGAAGGATGACATGTAGTTCGCTCTTTAAAGGATATTAGGTAAGCGCGCTTGACTCTCTATCCGCAGATCCTTCGGTCCACCACTCTTTAACCATCATTGAGCAACAGACCCAGATACGACGATGGAGTGATTCATTGGCATACGCACTCATGCGACCCTTTCACTGTGGATGATGCACCCTTCTAGATTCTCACTCGTCCACACATTTGTTTCCTGACACGCCACCAACAAATGACCGATCATCAATCCACTGCCTTCATTTCGACAATTCAGTCGAAAGGCCAAGGAGCTCTGGGATATCTGACGTTTACCAGAGATGGATATATACAGGCCCGTTGTACACCAAAAAGGAGATTGACTGCCCGCTACAGGAGTGAGGCGTGTAGATGTCTTCTCCAGCAAGCTACACGGTTCGTGGGAGGCTTTATCGATGCAGGGAAGGGAATGAGGGACACAATCGGTCGAGTAAAGGAAGGACAGAAGTGCATCGAATTCTTGAATCAAGTGTTGCGGTCTTGTGGCATTGCTCTCTCATCACCGGGGTGACTCGTCTCTTCGGTAAGCTACGCCCAACATTGTGGCTCGAGTGGGGAGATCTATCTGTATAGACCGTCTTCTCAAGATCAATGCTGAGATACTAAAGTTGCACGATCTTAGTGTACGTGACGTAGACTTGGTTTGAGACTCTTACTGCATTCAGGGCGTCGCGAAAAAACATGAAATCGAATACCTGACGTTAAAAGTATTCGGTCCGAGTACGAGACTCAAAGTTGAAGTAGAAGGAGCATTCGCGTTGTTCATGGAGATATGCAAATTAGAGTTGTTGGCCGCCTGGTCAACGAAATATGGTCATGACGACTTCCGTTCAACACTTCCCATCCACCTTCTTCTTCACATCCAATCTACATCCCACCTCTCAAATCAATCATTTTTGAGAGCGTATACACTCTTTCACCGTCTGTTACCCCTTGGGCAATCACAAAAGTCTCTGCTACACATTCATCGCTGCCCGTCATGGTGAGGTTCACGTCGGCCGTGCTGGCTGTTTTCTTATACTTGATACCTGCAGCTCTTGGAGTCCATCTTCACGGAAGAGACATCAATGAGCCACTCCTTGAGTCTTATGATTACATCGTTGTTGGCTGTGGCATCAGCGGGCTTGTAGTCAGTAATCGACTCTCGGAAATTTCATCTCGGACTGTTCTTTGCATCGAAGCCGGTGACGCGTGAGTACTATCCTCCTTGAGTCAAGTGCTATTGCTTACATTAACAGGGATCATTATGAGGCCATTATTCAGGACCCAGTCTATGTAGGAGCAGACATTGGTGGTATCTACGACTGGGACCTTGAAACTGTACCACAGACTCAACTCGACGGCAACACTCGGCCAATGCCGCAGGGCAAAGTCCTCGGTGGCGGCAGCATCTTGAATGCTATGTGCTGGAATCGAGGTGGATCCGATGACTTTGATGCCTGGGAAGCCTTTGGCAATCCTGGATGGGGCTGGGCTAGCATCCTACCGTACTTCATGAAGGCAAGTTACTCCTATGGCTCACTGCATTGGTATCTGACATATACCCTAGAGTGAGACATATACCCCTGTATATTCCGACGAGATTGCAGACGAATATTCGATCCACTACAACCCTGCTGTTCATGGAACATCTGGTCCTGTGCAGGTCAGCTATCCCAAGTATTTCTATCCTCAATCCAGTACGTACTCCTTCCGGTCTGCCATGGGGTCACGTTACATCTAATTGCACTAGTCAATCTCTTCGCTGGGATGAATCTCCTTGGTCTACCGACGCAATTTGACCCCAACGATGGTACTTCTGCAGGACCTGCTTTCGTGCCCACAGACCTTGACCCAAACAACCAAACACGTTCCGATGCTCGTCGGACCTACTTCGATCCCTACGTCACCAGAAGCAATTTCCATGTCATCACTGGACAGCATGTGACACGAGTGCTGATCGAAGGTACTGGTGGCAATGGCGAAGTGGACAACCCAACCTCTGGTGGCAACGACAATGGCAACGGGCCTGCCTCAGGCAACAATGACGGCTTTGGATTTGGTCCAGGTGGAAGCACTCCTCCTCTATCAGGGCAAATGCCTCCTCGCTTTGTCCGTAGACAGGACCCTGGCAATTCTAACTTAAGAGTTTCAGGAGTTGAAGTAGGTGACCGTCCTTCCCTTTGATGCACTCAGCTAAATATTTCAAGTTCGCACCCAATGCTTCTGCTCCACGTCAAACAGTCTACGCTACTAGGGAAGTCATAGTTGCTGCTGGTGCATTGCACTCCGCCCAGCTTCTACAATTATCTGGCATTGGACCAGAGTTATTGCTCAATCAGTACAACATAACTGTAGCGCTCAGTCTGCCAGGTGTAGGCAATAACCTTCAAGATCACCCTCTCGTCGGAACTTTCTATCCTTGTATGTTTTTGCTGATCCATAAATCCCCGTTGCTGGACGCTGACCATAGGGGTAGATAATAACGCCAGCTATCCCTCGCCAACTGAGCTAACGACCAACGCTACCTATAATCTGGAAGCTGAACAAGAATATGACACAGACAAGACTGGTAAGCAAATGTCTATGCTTCTAACTTTGGATTGTGGCTGAAGGCTTAGGTCCTTGGACGGCTGGATCCCCAAATGCATTGGCGTTTAATCCTCTGCCATTGATCAGCAACAATTCAGCCAGCATTCTTAGCAACGCTAGCAGCCAGAACCCAACGGACTATCTGGTTGCTGGGCTAGATCCCACGATTATCGCTGGTTATACTGCTCAGAAACAATCTTTGGTGACACGATTGGCGCAAAACACCGTAGCTGCATATGAGATCATCAACAACAATGCTGGAAGCTTGACAGTATCTGTCATGCATCCTTTCTCTCGCGGTACCTGCTACATTCAGTCTGCTGACCCGTTCCAGCCACCTGCTATCGATCCTCGATGGCTCACCAACCCTGTGGATAGACAAGTCCTGATTGAGGCACTGTTATTCAACCGACAGATCCTTGCCACTCCTCCTATGGTCGAGTTGCAAGCGGCACAATTTGTACCGCCTGTTGACGCTGATGAAGACGCAATTAATCAAGTGATCAACAACGGAATACGCACCGAGTTCCACCCTAGTGGCACATTGGCAATGCTCCCACTTGAGCAGGGCGGTGTTGTGGATTCGCACTTACGGGTTTGGGGTATGTTTCGCAGTGTATTCTTCCTTGTTGTTACCGAACTGGGTTGGAAGACATATTTCAGGGAATACAATGCTCTTTTTTGTTCCCTTTAGCCATCTCAAGACTCCATCCCCTGCCTTATAGAAGCTCTGCTGACTCCGCAATTTGTGTAGGTACGCAGAACTTGAGAGTGGTCGACGCGGGGATCTTCCCGGTAATCCCAGCTGCACATTTGCAGGCCGTAGTATACGGAGTAGCAGAGAAGGTATGAAAACCTGATTCTACTTTCGATGAGTACGGATCTAATGTTCTTGCAAAGGCTGCCGACATCATCAAGGCGGACAATCTCTCTTCGAGCGCAGTGCCAGCACCGTCTTCAATGGCTACAGCCTTGTCGACAGCCCTAGCCACGTCTTCGGAGGTTGCTGTCCCAACGAGCGCTGTCCCGACATCATCCCCAACGATTGCAACCTTGTCAACAATGGCAGACTCTACAATTCTGGCCACCTCCTCAGTGCCAGTCATACCGTCCACGACCCCAACAGTGCAATCTGTGGCTACTTCAACCCCGGATTCTTCTACGACTTCTTCAGCAATCCCGACAATGCACTCTACTGCTTCCTCAACTATGAATACATCTGCAACCTATTTAGCTAACTCAGCTGTTTTCTCTGTCGCCACGTCAATGACTCTGTTCTCTGCAAGCGCTTCACCAACTTCAACATTACAACCTGTGTTGTCATCGACAACGACTTTGCCTGCAAGATTGTCTGCGTCTTCACTGGCAAGCATCCCACAAAGTTCAGCCGAATTGAGTAGTCACTCGTCCCAGTCGATCTTCTCATTTTCCTCGACGAGCATTTTGTCGGCAAGCTTCTCTGCATTTTCGTCGTCAACCGTGCAACATAGTCCAGCGGAATCAAGCAGTCTCAACTCGCAACCGAGCTCCTCGCAGACTTCTTCGGTAGTCGCGTTGACCGCGGAGATCAGCTCTATCCACATCACGACATCTTCTAGCGCAACCAGTGAGCCTTCATTCTCGAGCTTAGCCATGACATCTGCGACGCAAGTAAGCTCAAGTAGTGGTACTACTTCATCCGGGACTTTCATGAGTCTATCTCTTTCTAGTCCAGCACAGTTATCCACGTCCTCGACGCTGCCAAATTCTCACGAATCAGTCCAGGAGTTCACCACAACGCTAGTCTCGAGCCTAACAAACTCCATATCCTCGCCTTCTATCACCAGAACGATAACATCTCCATCTACGACAGATCATTCTACACCGGCCTTTTCACCTACTACCTTGCCAGGACCTGAGGAGCTTAGTTCATCCATCATTGGTGTGTTGACCTCTGCAGGCGTCCCGTCATCTGTTGCGTCTTCATTGGCACCCATCATCGTAGGAAGTCCTCCTGAGACCACAGGCGTTCCATCGGCTTCCTCGACAGCAACGGAGACGGAACAGCAGCAAGAAAAGGCAGCTCTTGTTGCATTCATCCAGTGGTTTCTCAGCTTTTTCCACTTGGACTGAGGAGGTCCGAGGGAGGTGTTGAGTGTTGGAGGAGTGTTTCTTCTTTCGATCTCCGCTCGATCTCGCGTAATGCCTTAGCTACAGCTCTGCTTTGGGTCGCGGAGAAATTGCTTGGGTCATTGTCAAACTTGCTTACTTTCTTGTAACGCTGTAGATTAGGTTGTTAGGTTGCTAGATTACGATAGGTGCTAATATAATAATATGATGTCATGCTATCGGCGATACCAACCGGGTGATGAAAGACTGTGCCTATTTACTGCAATTTCCGGGTATGCAATAGTGGTTTCAGTTCTACGGATGGTCGCGCTACAGATGAAGCACTATATATTGAAACCGTCATGACGAACAGGATCACAGAACCTCCATATGCCGGCATTCTCAGCAGCCCTGCGGACGCTCGAAATCTCCTGTCCTGTAACAGTCCGATTGATCTCGCTATACCGTGCAGACGTAATCGACGAAGGTCCACCACCAGGCTCACTTGTTGGAAGCTCTTCCGATGATCCGACACTCGAAGGAGCTGGCGAGGACCTCGAGGACTTACCAACATGAGCATCAGGATGATACTGTTCCATGATATTGACGAAAATGTCTCTTGAAACGTTATCACCAAGCCATCGCATGATCTCTTGTCCTTCCTCTTCTTTCCCTGGCATGACAAGATGTCTCAATAGGAGTCCCTTTTTGGCAATTCCGTCGGTGGTAAAGCATAGATCGCCGACTTGAGCGTGCATAGCTTTAATACTCTCCATCGCTGCACTTGCGTAATCTTCTGCCTTGAGCAACCGCTTCGACGAGGCTTTTGTCCAGACCTTGAAGTCCGGCAGGTATATATCTACCAAACCATCAAGCAATTCCAGTGACTCCGGCGAATCAAACGCAGATGTATTGTAGACTATCGGCAAGCGCAGCCCCAAGTCCTTGGCGCGCAGTATGGACAGCACGACTTGCGGAACCACATGCTCCGGCGTGATCAGGTTGATATTGTGCACCTTTCCCACATTTTGCAGTTTCATATACCATTCAGCCAGCTCTTCCGGTGTGGCGTCAAAGCCATTGCGTTGGTGCGCGATGTCGTGGTTCTGGCAGAAGACGCAGCGGAGGTTGCACCCGGAGAAGAAGACGGAGCCTGAGCCGTTGTGGCCTTGTATACATGGCTCTTCGCCGAAATGGGGAGCTATGACATTGACTTTGGCGGTCTCGGCGCCGATGAGGCAGACGCCTGTTTTTTCCCAGCGATTTATTCCGCAACGTCTCGGGCAGAGGTTGCAGTCCTTGAGGTGGGCATAGGCCCCCGACCTCTTCTTTGATGCTTCGACCGACGATAGAAGCTGATATCGGGGGATGTAGTCATCGAGGAGGAAAGGAGGTGCGAGGTGGAGACGTCTCCGCAATGGCGGTGTGCACCTGAACAACGGTCTGGATGTCGCCCAGGCTTTGTTCGCCAACCAAGGCATCGAAGGAGAAAACACACATCCTCTACCTATCTGCCTTTCCCTAGGAAGAAATAGCTCGAGGTTAACGCTGTGTGACAGAAAGTGATATCTCGCGTACACAACAACCTCGAGCTCTCAGCCCTACAGTATGACGCAGGTGGCAGAGAAAAACCTGTATGAAATTTAGTGCGCTTATTAAGTCAATTCTTTCTTTACTTATCCCAAGTGCCCCTGGTCTGTCCCCGCTTACAGCTGCTATTATTACGATCATTGAGGAAGTATGTTTGGAATAATGAGCCATCCAAGCCCAGAGCTTTCGCGGTCCACTCGATGCAAGGACTTCAATTCAAATTGATTTTTCAGCACGACTGTCTCGCCACGTCTGAGCTGAGGGAAGCGAGCTTTCACCATTATTATTATTATTATATGTTGAATTTCCCTTTTTTTCCTATTTTCTTTTCCCGTAGTTGCTCCTTCGCTCATTCCTATAAGTACGGGGGGTGCAAAGGCAGTTGTTGGTTGCATATGTATGCGACTCCTGAGGTGCAACCCAACCCCCTCACTCTGCAGGCGTTGGCACTGACTTGGCAATCCTTCGCTGAAGCGCACCGCTCTTTTGCCGTCATGCAACATAATCATATGCAAGGCGAAATCGATAGGGTCCTATCTGCGGTACGAGCAAGTGCGACAAGCGTAGCTAGCGCGCAACATTGTGATTGGTGTTATCAATTCATAGTTCCTAGCGAAGATGGACTGGAATCGAAAACCTACTTTACTTCATTCGCATATGATGGTACTACTTGAGAGCAAGTGAAGTCGCTTTGATAAGTGATGGCTACTTCAGTATGTTGTTCAATCGTTAGTATTCCATTTCCTTGACCTGGTCACCTCGTGGCAGGTCAAAGCGGCACAGGGAAAATCAGAAGCCTCAAGCCTTTCCCGTCCGCCTCGCGGGCCGGGTTGGTTTGGAGCGTGGCATGAATTTGATGAGTGATGACGCTGAGTCGGTGACGTTGCAACTTTTTGACTTTTGGAGCAAGTAAAGGAGTGATGAAGAAAAAGAATCGCTTTGCTACGTTGAGGTGCATGATAGTGAAAGATGAAAAGAAAAGTGAAGCATTCAATAACAACATGGCCAAGTACCTAGCAGCTACTCATAATCTTTGATCCTTGGTGAAGTGGCATCATTGCTTGTTATGCACGTATTAGCAATCACTATAAATTGGCTACGGCAAGAGAATTGGCAGTTTAGCACCGGCATTCCCTCACTCCTCACTCCCTGCAGTTGCTCCGCACAGCTGCTCCCACCCAGTTCCCAAGTCATCTCGTTTCGAGTATTTCTTTCATTGAAATCATCATAATCATGCATACATACATACATACATACATACATACATTTCCCTGTAGACAACGGTGAATGGGATGTAGTATCCTGTCTCATCTCTGCTCTGCTCTGCTCCGCTCCACCCTTTTCCACGTATTGGATGACATAGCATGCATGTGAATGTCTCTGTAGAGTCGGGAAGAAGGTTTTCCTTAGCTGATTCCGACTTCGGTATGATGATGGCAAGGGTAGAGGCAAGACACGTGGAAGATCAGCCGGCTAAGCTGTCACTAAGGTATATTCTACTCTAGGTACATTAGGCATTGGTGGCATTATAAAAAAGGGATCAAATATTTACTTTATTACTTTATTGTGATCGGCAGAAGGCCAGCGAACAAACGAGGAACAATGTAGGAAAAAGATGCCACTTAACTACTTCGGGAACGCCTCTGTCGATCCATCGATCCTGCCCGTCCACTGTCCACTCTCCTCTGTCCACCCACCTCCGCTTCCACAGTCTTGTCTGCAACACCCAGTCCCTAAAGTACTTTCTGCTCGGCCTCTCCTCTCCTATCTCCCTATCCTCATCATCCCTCTCTTCGCATACAACTGAATCCTTCATTCCATTCAATTGGCACAGAAGAACGCTGCAAACAAATACATTCCTTCCTCCTCTAACCCGTCCGCCTAAGACATCCACCTGCATCCTCTCGCTTCCCCCGCTTACCGACACTTGGCTTCCCTCCGAAAGAAACGATTTCCCACGACAGCAACGGTGATGATGAGAAACGAATTTGCAATCATGAAATAACGATATGTGACGACGAATGGCATGACAACATTTCCTCTCCTCTAGCGCAATCCTTTTGTACTCCAATCGTACCCAGATGGCTTCAACAATGGATGCGCTACAAAGCTTCGTCCTTCTCAACGACAATGTGCCCTCATGGCTCGCAAAGCTTGATGACCTCACTGTCAGTGTTGCGGCGCACAATGCTCGCTTCTTAGAAATGGCCCGTTACGGCAGCAGACTGCTGAAGAAAAAGAACCTTTCCACCGAATCCCTCCGCGAAGGTCCAGTCCATTGCTACACCATTGAAGGAGAGACTGCCGCCAAAGCTACAGACATCTACGTGCCGCCAAATCCTTCACACCAATGCCTCTCCCATGCATCTCGTGCCAGAAATGTCCCCAACAATAGCGTCCTCGTGCGAAAGCGGAAAGGTTCCAACGCATCAGTCCTTTCAGGCCAACCCCGATACCGCACGAAAAGCATGGTGGTCGTTTATTATGACTCTGCCGTTCAAGAATCCTTCGAATTCCTCTTCCGCAGCATTGCCGGCGCGCGCAACAACCTTCGCAAAGGCAAGACGTCTGCCAGCTTTAAAGCACGCATGGCGTCACTAGTCACGGAGAGTGCATACCCTGCCGCTGGAGAATTTTACAGGCCAAGTCCCAAGATGATGAAAGCCGGCCTCGGACGTAGGACCCTTGGCCCAGACTTCGGTGCCGACGACAAGCTGTCAACCTTTGACGAAGCAGACAAAGATCTCGAGATCACTCAAAGTTTGTGTGAAGTGGCTGCGCATCAGTTTCTACGGGACGGAGATTGTCGACTCGAGATTGAGGGCATGAGGAAGAAGTTCGAGAACTGTCGAGCAATAGCGGAAAAAGAAGTGGAGAGGTTGAAAGAGGAGGAAGCACGAGAACAAGAAGAGAAGGAGGGTGTGGCCGAGCTAATCCAGGAAGAGCAGCTGCCAGTGGTGAAATATGTCGAGGCCAAAGTGAACCCTCCACCACCGCTGAAGGGGATCACCTTCACAGGGACAGGTGTGATTGAAATCGATGATGGATCCGATGCGGAGTCTGTGCACATCGATTTATCCGCTTTCAGGACGCGGACAAGAAGGCTATAATATCTCCAGCTTTTCAGCTTCTGCGACTTGATGTTGCGTTCCAACTTTTGTGGCTCGGTATCTGGAATATCTGGACACTTTTAATTTGCTTCGTATTCTTTGAGCGATGACGACCATGGTATCTTCCGGCGAGCGTATCTGCAGCGGTCAATATGTATGGCTTGCCATTTAGCGTTGGCGTTTGCGCTGCTCCTCATGGGCAACCGTTTATTAATGACACAAGCACAGTCTCCATTATAGGCAGTACAGCATTGTGAACTTGAGCCTCGGTCCACCCGTGACGTGAAGTCTTTGTTGATGAATGAGCCTGCCACCATTTTTTCGTGACGGACCTCTAGATAGAGACTTTGTCCGGATCAACTGCCGCTTTCCAAAGTATCCAGGTCTTGCCAGCTCTAGCTCTACGATTCAGCACTACGTGAGATTTCGGTAGCTACGTGTCCCGTGGACGTGCATGTTTGATGTGAGGTCCTGAATCGCTAGCGAATCTTGGCAAAGGGAACTTCACTCTCGAGACGGCAAGATGGTCCCACGACCTCACAGTCTCTCCCTCCCTCTCATCCAATTTACATTTCTCCATCCCATCTCCGACCGAATGTTAATATGACACTCTCATGGTCCTCCATAATGTTCGTTATGCTCCTAGACATTCAATGGCTTTGACTTCAAGGTGACAAAAATCTCGGTCTGAGTTAAGATTACTTTGGCGTTTGAGGGGTTTACAACCTCAGAACGACGCAAAGGTTGGTGCAGGACGTCGTTCCCATGTTTAGAGGCATTGATCAACACCTCCCCGGCGCGGAGTGTCGATAGGTTTTAAAGTGTACTTGCTGACAGAAGATTGTTCACAGCTCCAGCAGTTTGCACAGCTTGAAGAAAACAGCAGCAGCCATCACGATGAGGCGTCCAGGAAATGTCAGAGGCCATGTAGCGAACTCCCGTACACCGTGCTGGAGATGTATACTAACTGCTGACTACTTGTGCTTTACAGAACAGACGCGTTGTCCTTTCAGAGTCGGAGTCTGAGTCTGATCTCGATAATGACTCCGATAAGTCCATTGATAACGCCAATGCCACTAAGCGGAGCTCAAGTTATTTATGCTTAAACACCAAGTCCAGCATTGATGATGCCTCTAAGAATTCCCTTGATGATGATCCAGATAATGCCACCAAGAACTTCAATAGCGACGACGTCAAGAAGGGACGTCTAAGAAATGTCAGTGGCTATATGATGAAGTCTCGTTAATTATGCATGATATATTTACTGGCCGCTGACTACTTGTGCTTTATAGAATAGATGCGTTGTTCTTTTAGAGTCTGAACCTGATCTCGATGATGACTCTGATAAGTTCACTGATAACGCCAATGTCACTAAGCGGAGCCCAAGTCATTTACGCTCAAATACTAAGCCTAACATTGATCATACCTCCAAGAAGTCCATTGATGACGACGCCTGTGATGCCTCTAAGAACTCCAGTGACGACGACCTCGGTGATGCCTCTGGCAAGTCTGATGATGCCACACCCAGCGCCACCTCCATCAAGAGAGACCCAAGCCATCGCAATACAACCATTTGGACAGACAATGATACATCAAGTCCGATAGGAGGGTCGAAGACGGTCAAACGAAAGGCAGACACGGTGGGCATTGACCTTTACAATATAATATCTTCTTCGCCTCGAGCGTCTAACGAGTCGGATGCGTTACAATATGACGATGAGCGCCCGGGAAAACGCCATCGACTCACGCGTGGACATGGACGAAGTACCGTGAGCTACGATATGAAGCACCATCCAATGGATGATGTCCTCCGACCCAAATATTCAGCAGAGAGGCGAGCGAAAGCGAGACAAGTTCCCGAAGAGTCCAGTGACAGTGGCTCTGAGATCGACGAAGCACCAAGCCGGAATACTACCTCTTTAGATCCTCATCGCCGCCGGTCCTCTCGCAATACTCATCGAGGTGAGAAACCAATGTACAGCGCAAAATGGCATCCCTTAGATCAAATGCTGAAAGGCAATGCTTCCGCAATGAGTGTCCCAAACCCCAATGGCCGTAGCGGAAAGAGTCCCCAAAAGTCCAACGACTCCTCTTCTACGCTTAAGGACGGAGAAGACCCTATAATCGTAAGTTCTGATCTTCATCCCTATCAACCTACCGGCAGAGCTTCCGAATTAGGGGGTGGGACCGCACCAATCAGTTCAGATCGACGTCGATCCGCACGAGTATTGTCTTCCAAAGATACACCGCCGAACTACGACATGAAGTATGGTGGCCTGACCCAATTCGTAAAAAGTCCGCATTAAGGCTAATTAGCCCTTCCAGATATCATGTAATGGATTCTACCCTTCGTCCAAACGCTGCTGCAAAGCGATTGAAGTCCAAATTACATTCAGCCACTCCAAGCGATTCCCTCCGCGAGTCAGCATCCTCTGCAAAGGCTCACACGGAACAGCCTGCAAAAGCTTCACCAAAGTCCTTCACAAGGCGTTCGGTGAGCTCCGAGTCCGAGCTGGACAGCCCCAACGTCTCACCTGCCTCGTCTGAATTGCAGAATCCATATCTGAATCGAACCTCACTAGAGTGGGCTGAAGTTCAAGATATGGATCGATGCGTTTATCTGCTTCAGAGAGGTGCGCCTCTTTGTGGTAACACTTTACCCCAGGACTGGACCCATGATGTCGTCAAGAAAGTGCTTTCTGATAAGGGCGTAATCACTTTTGATGAGCTCAGCAGCCAGGGAGCTACCGAACTATTGAAAAGTCGCTATGAGAGCGTTCGACTTGGTCTTCAAAATTTCTTTGGCAGCGGGCCCGAGCCGGTCAACAAGAAAGATTGGACGTTATCAAAAGCCGAAGGGTTCGATGTTTACGATATGAAGCGGGGCTTAAAATACTGGAAACATCTAAAGGACAGTGTTGTCGGTGGCACCAAGACCAGCAGCAGTTCCAACAGCCTGGGGTTTGCAGCCAAAAAGGCAAAATCTATGCCAGGAAATGATGACCAGGAAGCGACAGACAGTGTTTTGGAAGAACGAGATAGGAACGAAGCAATAATGGCTACAAGGATGCAACATATCAAGAATGAAGGAACAAATCCCAACAAGTCCTGTTTGAAATGGCCACCAATTTCGGAAGTCGACACCGAGCGAACTATGATCGTCGACCTCGAGGATGATGGCGAGCTAGGTGTGATTATCGAGACTGAGGACACTCTGGTAGAGAGCATGCGAGGTGGAAACATCCCTTCGTCGATCATGAGCGATGCAGCACTCGAGGAGCTGTTATTTCCCATCGAGCAGCACTTGAGGGAGGAATGTAACCAGGAAATCACGGCTGATCCAGTCTCGAGCAATTCGAGAAGTTCTGAACCTGCTGGACTAGTCCTCGACCATCCGGACAAGACTCTCGGTGAACTCAACTCCGTTGCTTCCGAAGCTGAGGCAGCGGATCTGAATACCTCATCTAATCGTGGACTGACCGGACCTGTCCCACTCGGCAAGGACGAAAGGACGTCGAGTGTTAATGTCGGCCCTCGCGATGGATCTGGTAAATCACAGACTGCTAAGGCGGAGGTCAAGACGAAAAAGCGCAAGTCGAAGGTAGACGTTGCCATCGCTGTACACGAAGATCTCCCCGGCAGGACTCCGCTAGTCAAGAAGATTGTCAGCATGAATCCTGCCTCTCCTGGCACAGACATACCAAAGGAGAACCTCGAAGACGATGGCTCGGTGGAACATTCAAGCCAGGTCGAGATACGAACGCCTCGGATTCGCCGACACCACGAAGCTATCGGCACGCCTAGCATTAGAAGAGTCAGTCGTCTCGGAAGTGCAACAACCACGACACCAGCTTTTCGCTCTCTCTTTGGTGGACCCCATGGCTCTTCATCTCCAGGCAGCTCGCCGACGACACGATAAATAAAATGGCCCACTTTGAGCTGTTGTTCACTGAGTGTCTGGTCAAAATGCACGCAGTGTGCTTTAGTTTTCAATTTTACGATTCCACATGTTTCTGCTTGCAGTGTCGATCACGCTCTGGAGGAAACAGGATTGGGGTGTGGAAGGAGTGCAAATGGCGAAGCACAGGAGGGGGACTAAAAGCGGAATTATGAGGCTACGTTTGCTCTGGAGAAGCTTTGCTTGCTTGGCACGAAACTGCTGGCTTTCCTTCCTGGTACTTGCTGCAGCCGAGACTTGACATGAGAGCATCTTGCATTCCGAAGCCGGCAATAGATCCAGACATCATGTCCAGCCGCCGTAGCTACGTCAGCTTTTAGAAACATAGAAGCATCACCATCAAAATATTCTAAAGAGACTGATTGCTTGTGAGTAAAGTGCTGCACGTGCAACAACAGGACAACGGCCAGCAAAAGCCATCGCGTTCCCCTAGGACTGCAAAGAGATCAACATTGAAGGCAAGACTTCTGGTACGCCTGTCTGGGTATCAAATAACGTTCTTTTAAACATTGGAGATGTCAGCTTTCACTAAAAGATCTTGGTGTGTTTGTCGATTCTCACCCATGCTGCTTACACGAACACACCGCGACTGATAGACCCACACAGTGAAACCACAGCCCAGTGGAAAGGAAGGAAAGGATACCATCGGCGGAATTGGTGCATGAGGAGCTGGACGCGGAGAAGGAGAAGTGGGAGAATATGCAGCGGGTTTTTGAGGCTTCTGGGTTGGAGCAATCCCTTGGGTCTGAGAATGAGCTTGATCAAGGTTCGGTTTAGAACGTTCCGACAGCAGGGGAGCAGGTCAAAGGATGTCCGCAGAGATAAGCTGTATGCCGTTTATTCTACCTAGTTCAAGCATCCTCCGCAGTGATCGGAGCATCCCAGATCGCTGCAGTTCCCACCAAATCCGCTTTCTCGTCCGCTATGTTGCAATAACAGCCAAAAGGAAGCGGGCCAGTATTCGGTGCACCATGGTACATGATATCGAAGAATCCTGTGCAGAGACAGTTCAACAACCAGATAGAAGGGCATAGGGAAAGCTCTCACCCTTTAGCGCATCGTTCATCATCCCGTAAGTAAGATGAGGTATCCCTTCCACCGGAGGCAGAGGCGAACTCTTCGCTATGAAGTAGAAACCTTCCACACACCGATAAGCCATGAGATTGTATTGAGCAGTCCAGAAGACGAACCGGGCCAATCTCGTCTATAAGGGTCGTCTTCGGGCAAAAGCCAGCCATCCCCTGATGCTCTGATATGCGCTTGAACCTGGTCTTGCATGATGAGGAGATAGCCCCCAAGAGACTTCCTGTGGAGCGGCCTATCCTGGCGGAAGCTAATATGGAGCGTCGTCTGCGTCCCAGGCACGTGGTACTCGACGTCTTCGATCTCTCCTACGGTTGTGTTTCTGCAGTAGACATCAGCATGACGGATGGGACTAAGATGATTTTGATGGTGACTGCGTGCCTTGGCGGACTGAGGACAGAGACATGGGGAGGAGGAATGCTGTGTGCACCTGCCAGGGATAGTGCCTGAGCTGATGCTTCCCTCAGAGCAGTGGAATTGAGAGGAGAAGCGCCAATATTGACACTGCTCGCGACCAAAGTAGGATTGATTGTTTCAAGCAAAGGAGGGGCAGCTAATGCTGCCAACATTTGGACTGGGAGGAGAAGAAGAGGTGTGGAAAACATGACGATAGAATGTTTGTCATATTCCTAGGGTTAAGAAGAGGAAGAAGAAAGACGTTTGATTCGCATATTTTCCATGGGACTAGGTACTTATGCTCTCTCACCTTAAGCGCATAGACGATAGTGTTCCAAGCTGGAAGCGACTCATGGAACACGGGAGCTTCTACGGAAACCCACTGATCAGTACTGGCTTCTTTTGAAGAAGAGACCCGACAGGTGGTTTGGATTTTGGTGAGAATCGCCGTTGCCATTCTCTCTTTCGCGACGCCACCACGCCTTGGTCCTTACCATCCATACATGCGCAGGGCGAGAAAGCGAAAAACATGCTGTCACAAGTGAATTGCAACATTAGCTAAGCTTGCTTCTCTTCAACTCAATGGACGATATAGCGGTGCGGCCAAGACCACTTTGACCTCAATGATACACACTGAACCATGGGTGGGCGAGAAAATTAGTAAGACACTAATCTCCTTAAATACCTACCGTAGGTAGGCAACCTGGCAACCACCACCACCACCACGACCAAGGCTATTATTAGCGTTCGTGGCCCCAGCTTTTCCCCGCAAACATATCCCTCGACCATCCTTCAGAATAGTATCAATGCTGAGCATCACCAGAATAGCAATTGTATGTCAGCTTCGAATTAACAAAGCTCCAGCTCCTTCGAAGCTTCTCAAGTACCCGGAAAGTGCCTTGGAATTCGCATTCGTCACCACTTGAATGAATCATTTCTCCTTCTTTCCCTGCGGCGAGCAAGGCATCATATCGTGTATATCTTCTCTTATCCCTCGACAGCCTCTGTGAAGTCGCAAATCTCCTTTCTCTTTTCTGTTCAAAGCCGAGCAGTGTCTCCCTCAGTGTCTCCCTAGCATCTCCTTTCCCTCAGCCCGTCCGCCTCGAAGACACCAAGAAGCTCCCAGCAGTGGGCAGAGTGCAACGAATCACAGCAGGTCTCATACCTACTACAGGAGTGGGCAAAGCAGCCGCAGTATTATCGACAATGGGCGATGTACCCCAACCCTCCAGCTTGCTCCAACCCGACTTCAAACGTGATGACTCCACATCCACCAAACCCAAGCCTCTGGCCCCAAACACCTTCACCGGCATGGTCGACACTAGCGACGCCGCCGTCGAACGCCGCTATAAAGGGACCTTCAACGCGCTCGGAGGCACAGCCTTATACAATCGCCGCCTCGAAGCCAACCTCGCGCTCAACAGAGAGAAAAGCGGTGGATACGCCGAGTGGAATCGCAGGCGTCAGGATGCTATTGATAGGGGCGAGGATCCGAATGCGGATTTGATTGCCAAAATGGACGCGAGACGGCCGGATAGCTATCTTGAAAGGGCGTGGAGAAAGCTGAGTGGGAAGAAGAAGACGAAGGCGGAAGAGAAAGAGGCCAAGGAGGCGAAGGAAAAGAAGGTGGTGGAGGCGAAGGCCAGGGCTGGGAACGAAGGAGACTTGGGGACAGTGGATGTATATCAGGGTTTGGCTGGTGGAAGGGAAGATGATGGGATCATCAGATGAGGAGATGAGGAAAGGACTGCTTGCACTCCAACGGGCGAAATACAATTACATATACGACGTGAAGACACAGGAGTCCTGAGAGCTTTGGGCAGCTTTATGGGTATTTGTAACGTTTGATGGCTTTATGACTCTATCGCACCACCGCTCCTTTCAAGCTCTTCACAGTACACCGCCCTCCACTCTTCGTCACCAACCGCTTTACTCCCTTCCCCTTATCCCCATCTGTATCCTTCAAGGCTTCCACTCCACTCGCCTCGAAACCCACTTCTAGGCCCTCAGTCGTAGTAAACCCGGGTTGCAAGCTCTCCCAGACTTTCTTTTTTGGATTCAGTACCCCTTCTGGCTCCCCTTCCCACCCGTCAAAGCACACCCTCTCGCCAGCAGCCGCTCCTTCCGGGGGGGTGACCAGTTCCACTGGACCTTTGTGATTGTCCTCTTCGCCTTCCTTTGACCTCGGTGACGCGGCTAGAACCATAGCAGCAGACTTCACACCTCTCATCGTCACAGGCTTGAGATTGCAAACAGCTATGATCTTCCTCCCCTGCATTTCCTCCAGCGGTACCAGCCCGTTGAGTCCAGAGCATACAGTACGTACGACCTTGCCTTCATGTTCCGAGGTGTTTTCAGTACCGGGAGGGTCTCCGCAGGCGATGGTAGAGACGTAGAGAGAATCGGCGTTGGGGTGCGGGATGGCTTTGAGAATGTGGCCGACGCGGAGATCAATGAGGTGTGGGGAGAGGGGCGTCTCTTTCGGCGGTTGCTTGGCTGGTTTAGGAGCTTTTTCTTTCTTTTCCTTCTTGCTGGGTTGGGGCGTGGCGCCATCAGCTATTGCTGTTTTGGATTGCGATTCTGGATCTTGTGCCTTGCCCTTGCCCTCCTTGCCTCTGCCAACCACTAATGGCGCCTGCCCGTCTGCAGCTGCGGCTAGAGCTTTCTCTTTCTTCTTGCGCTCTTTCTCCTCCTTGGGATCTAGAGGCTTGTGTACAAATTTGAGGTCGCTAGCATCGATGTTGACCTTGTCGTCTGCTGAGAGTGACAGCCCAAATAACGGGGCATTTTGCACAAAATCGATGTATCGTACGATGTGATGGTAGCCATGTTCGCCGGTCCGTTCCTCGGCACTCCATGATTTCACTGCTGGGGCTAATCTGTGAAACATGGCTGCGTCTGCTATTGAAGGCTTGCTGCCGAGTAGAGTTGTGCGAGTAGAGAGGTGGATGTTGAGTGAGCCCAGACGTTCGGCATGTTTTGCCTCGTCCTCATCAGAGGCAGCAAGATGAGATGATGCAGTCAGCCATTGTGATGTTTCGACCTTCTCGTTGTCCGTGTAGACAGTGTCAGGGTAAAGCTGGTGGGAGGTGTTGCTAGATAGATCTGCTACCGAGGTAGTGATTGGTACTGCAGAATGGAAGGAGGAATGTAGAAAGGTGACGAGGTCTTTTGGGGAGGATGTTGAGGTCGACATGGAGTAGGAAATGGATGAGAACGCTGGTTTCCGGGGGCGAATTGACCAGGACTGGAAGACTCGTGGAGTCCAGCATCGATTCTGGCGTGGGAAAAGCCTCAGCAGTGCCAGCTTCGTATTTTCTGGAAAATTACGTGCGGCTACTGCTCCTGCGGATTAATGGAAGAAAAGGTTGACGGAGATTGAGTCATGAAGCATTGAGAGTCAACATCATTCCTAAGCGATCCTTGGTGCATGTCATTGAATTCTATGATCTACGGACAGGTACATGCATGAATTCTACCAAGCGAACACATCTCAGCTGGAAATGACAGTGATTGTCCAGGTACCAATGTGTCCATCCATCCGTTCCTTCAAGATCTAGGTAGTACGTTGTACCGTTCTATTGCCACGGGACCCGCAATAGAAAGAGACCATCTAAGGCGCCTCGAACTTCACCAAAGAGAATAGTGTAGTTGCTCGATGCTGAAAGATGAATGTCCAACCGATACAATCCGCAATCCTTGATGATAGTGAGGGAGCTCTTCCCAAAATTTGCTCTGCCAGCCGAGGACGCGGACAGGTATTTTCTCCTAATCCATCAATCGCCAGAACAAATTTTCATACCTCTGTGTGATCTTTAAGCTCCGAAAACTGCATGACACATTCATGTAATTTGGACTCTCCATCTTCATCCGCTGAATTATCAGAAAAATGCTTTTCGCAATCATCGAATGGGTCGGCGGACGAGCTATGAGGACGGTCTGCTCCAATATCGGACGATACAGGGCCCCTGTTTCCCGTCACGATTGGACTGACACTACGCCATTGGAATTGGGCTTGAAGAATGCATAGAAGCCATGGGTAAACTCCTCGACCGCGAGGTCTGTCGGATGGAAGTTCTTCTTCTATGTATCCTAAGTGGTTAGGATTAGGTCCCAGAAGATGCTCATTGTCTGAATACGAACCGCATTCATAAAGTACTTGCAGCTTTGGTAGCCTGGACTGGACGGCATCTATGACGGCGCTCCAGGATCCATATTGATCGCTTGAGCTGTCTTTCGTTTGCAGCGTGGACATGAATTGGCGGGACCAGAGTCCAGGAACTATCCATTGTATGGGCTTGGTAAGAGATCTTTGCGTTTTTTCGATCAAGGAGGTCACTCGACGGAGGTCACCGGAAAAGAAGGAAGCAAATTCCAGCTCACACTCACTACGTAGCCTATGTCCTGGTCAAAAGGCGTGTAAAATCCTGGGTTTCTTGGCATTCACTTATGGGTTCTACACACGGCCAGGATATTGGATCTTCCCGGACCTCCAGAGCCCATTTCAAGTTGTTGTACCTAGGTCTAACATAGCTAGCATCGGACTTTGCAAGATCGAACCAATGTAAACGGTATCCTTGTCTTGGGTTCCGAGGTCTAACGTAGCAATGTACACAACCTGCGTTTGAGGCTGTATCACTTGCATGCAGACTGCAGTTCTTTTCATTGAAAGATTAAAATCTCTCCCGCAACGATCTAATCTGATCGCAAAGGAGACAAACAGGATATGGATATTTCCATCATCTTTTGTTCAACATCGCTAGCTGAGACCTGAACTAACAAGCTTTGGTGGGTATGTACGATGCATTTCGACGGATCTATATACTTCGCGACCAAGCCATTGTTTGTACCACCGTCTGGTGTCAACAGCAGACGAATTCGAAGGCAACAAGAGCGGCAAGACTAATACCCTGACTCTGTGGGCGTACTTTTGCCATGAGATATGGACATGTAAGGTTCCTGATCCATTTATTGTCAGCCAACCACATACGAGGCAAAAGCCGGTGGTAGTGCTACAGATTACTGACCAAAACCTTTTTGGCGTTGCAGACTCGCCACGACAGATTGCGGACGTTGCCGTCGGCTTGGACGACCTCAGGTGCAAATTCTATCCCGAACCTGTATGTTCATCAGTATTTGGCTTGCAGCATTTATCGAGGGCCAAGAGCGACTT